ACTTCAACGCCCACCACGACCTGTGGTGCTCTAACTTGGCGGCCGATCCCCGGGGAGAAGCTCTGGCCGATGAATTAGAACGCGCCCCCTTCGCAGTCTTGAAAGAGGACAACCACACGCGGCTCCCGACCAACGGGGCCTCCAGCTCGCCCGATGTTTCCCTCGCTAGTCTTAGCCTGGCAGCCTCCACCATGTGGAGCACGAAAATCAGCCTAGGTAGCGATCAACTCCCCATTGTGCTCGAATCAGCCACCGCCGCCGACCGTATCAAGGCCCCAAACAGACATTTCATCAAATTCAAGCGAGCCGGTTGGGCAGCGTTTATCGCCGAATGCAAAGCCGAGGTCGATGTCCTGCTGTCTCCCACCTGTGTCCTCACGGCGGAACGAGCCCTTCGTCGGCTACTTCTGGCAGTAGCAAGTCACTACATCGCGAACGGCAACATTCCTCTACTTCGTCCCAACTATCCGCCTGTAGCCTCCCTCCTGGAACGCGAGGGAGGTGAGATACGAGCACGTGATGCCCCACAGTATCTATAACCACCGTTTTTGCAGGACAAAATGCTGGGACTAGGGGTATATGAGTGGGCCTACATAAGCTACTTTTGCCGAATTCTCCTCAACTGCCTCTAATTGGTCAACTGTGGGGGCCTTAACTGTAAGTATAGGCACTCTCGTAACTTTTTTTCGCGCGAGCCTTAGCTTTAAGTACTTTCTTTGCACCTGAAAACGTTGAATAAAAATGCGGTTTTTCCCTGTGGAGAGTAGCAACAGCCTCAAAAATATAAATAAATAAACAGAGTAATAATACGGTAGATGTAGGTAATGACAAGAAAAAAAGGGAATTTACAAAAGCTAAAAAGTAAAGAGGGCTGTAATGCAAAACACTCGTGGATCTGCAACATCTCAGCGGTTATTGCGGCAAATTCCAAAAAGATATGGGAGGGCATCTAAGCCCAGCGTCCCTTCTACTGGTTCTTCTCCTCTGATGTTTGGAATACCTCCACTCTCACGATCAGTCAGAAAGGCGCCTGCGTGAGCTGCCATAAGAGCGCGCACCGAGCCTATCGATCTCCTGTCAGCTCTGATTGGTCCACATCTCCGACACTTTTCCATCAAGCGTTTCAATAAATATACGTAGTCTTTTTGTGAGGAGTTGTTTTTTGCGAATACAGCTCTCTGCGTGGTCGATTGCCTTCTCTTCGTCTCGCACGTTGGCTTTGGAAACAACGGTCGGTCAAGCTCACAATTCGTGTTAATTACAGGTACCAGGTGCGGGTCGTAACATCCGAATTACCTGACCTTCGAATGCAAGGATTATGATCTCAACGTCTTTTTAAATGGCATTCACAGCAGTCAGTTTGCTGTTCGCCTGACATGTGCTGTTGGCACTTTTGAAAAACTCATCTTTCAGTCACTCTTGGGGAAGACGTTTTTTGTGTTGACACAT